TTGGTAGCATAAAAAACATTTCTTATGAGTTCTGTTGTTCATACCAGATATCTTAAAGTAAAAAATTTAACAAAAGTATGCCGATTTCATTCCTTCTTTCCCAAAACTGTATTATGTTGTTATGCAGACGATGTGATTTGTTTAGCAAAAAAGAAACGAAAGTAGAAAATAAGTCAGAAACGTAACGGGCAGGTTTCGAAATTCAGGGAAATATTTATTAATTAAAGTAAAAGTATTTAATTATTCCTTCAAAAGTAATCTGGAAGCGGGAATATACATGTAAAGACTGCCAAAGTAGTTCCGGATGCTTAGTGCAAGCGAACTCTAGATTTTATTGATGCAGTTATCAAAAGAATTTTTTATCCAATCAGAATCAAGTATTTTATAGAAATATCCACAGAGCAATGTCTATCTTTAGATAGTTATTACGTATATACATTTTAGAAACTCATTTTAGACCAGAGAACCATGGTTGCAAACCACGGCCAAAACGTACGATCCTCTCTTATTGTAGGAAAGAGCTACTATAAACCAATTATATCATTCGCATCATCTTTTATTTGCCATTCGACAGTTTAAAATCAATCCGCGACGATTTAGTTTGGCGACCTGTAAAATTATATAGTTAAATTTTTGACTGGCGGCCAATATTCGTGCAGAAGAGAAGGTCGCGGAACGCGAATAAAACCTGCCTGGTTTAAAGTAAATATACAACTCCGAACCGTGGCTTGAGACGATGTCAAAGGACAATCACTCAGAATGCTTTCCGGAAAGAACTCCTTTACACCGACTCAGTCCGGTGACTAAAGTTATTTCATATGCTTCCGGTGTCCACTAGAATATATCCCGTCCTCTTGAATACGGAAAGCGGCTCTTTACTTAGCACATTCACAAAGAACATGCTTATAACATTGATGTAAAACAAGTACTTTGTAATTTGAAAATGAAGGTTCTCAGTTCTTTTGCAGAAAATATTGCGTTCAGAAGCTAACAGACTTGTTGTATTATAGACGATAGGGCATTCCGATCGAGGTGACTTTATTAACCAGAAGGACCTTTTCGGAAAAATTATTTTAATCTTACATTTTTAGGATGAGTGACCTTTTTGATAGAACAACCCCGTGACAGCGTTCACCACATCTGTTTCTTATTGATATGTGTTACAGTTACTGACTATATCGACGATAGAACCAACTAAGAACAAAGTTGTTTTACAATTGAAACGACTAAGCATAAAATTACTATGCATGATGAATAAGGAAAGCTAGAGTCACTCTAACTTTCCTTATATATGTATAGTAATGTAATGCTTTCGCCTTACCAGAGATGCACGTGTTCCATTTCGATAATACAGTATTTTCGAGGGTGTGGTTTATTTATTCATTTATTTGTGGTATTGAGAGAAATAATCGTATATACTTAATACTAAATCAACATTAGTACTACGTAATACTATATGTTTTTTTAATAAATAATTACTAGCCTAAGTATTACACGCCGGAAGCAGGCCCCCATCGTTTATCAATTGGATTAATTAAACTTGATTCACTATTATACATGTAATATATTTTCCTCAAACAATTGACTATATGTGATTTTGCAGCAACTCCATCAGGTTGTAATCAATTCAAGCATTCGTATTATTTATACGGGCCAAGATAAAGTGATTGAACAATTTATGTGACGTATTTTTCGTTAAATAAATAAACAATAGTGATTTCTTTTCATCAGTACCTCAATGTCTATGTACATTTATCCTAGGGATAATATGCTAGGTACATCATGTTTACCCTATATAAGAAAATTAAAAAGATATTTACATCTTATCTTACATGAACATGTAATATAGATAATTTTTTCGATGTCCAAAAAATTCCTTTAGTGTACTGTAGTTTATACAATATTTTTATGGATTATAATTGAAAGATGTAGAGATAACGAACAGTATATGAGCTGAAAAGTCCATTAGACATTACAAAATAGGGGCGGGGCAAACACGGACCTCCAAAACGTCGGAGGTGGGCTCAAGTGCCATGGAGAATTGATCGAGCGTCCCCTGCCGACCGGTCACACGCGCCGTGTGCTCCTTGTCATGATCACAAAAAAGAATATCCGCCGACAACTAAGAGTGTAAATAATGTCCTAATAATCAATATGAAAAAAGTCAGCATTTGACTTAATTAATGATAAGTTGTATTTGATGACAATGTCCTTGTATCGACCATAGAATTTACGAAATGAGACTGTTGATATAATTGCTTCATCAACGTGTTTGTCAATAATTTACCTTGGTTAAGAATTTGTTCATACATAGAACATGCTCTTCCGTATCGAATCAACTGAGAGATATAAACTCCGTATGCAGGTGACAAAGGTATATTGCTGCATAAGTAAAGGAGTTGACAATTGAAAAGTTAAAGTATCACGTTTATCATAAAGCTTTGTTGTTAGATAACTACTGACCTTTTTTCTGGTAAAAAATCCAAATATGAAACAGATGTGTCAACCTCTGTGACATCTTTTATTTCAAGCTCACTGGGATATATCGTGTTCACATAAGAATGGACATACTAATTGTTAATCGATGTATCTTAATTTCGAGTTTAAGGTCAGAGCAAGTGTTTTCTTCTATTCACTTAACAATGTTTTAAAAATTCTGATTCACAAATGAAGGAAATGATATATGATAATATATAGACATGCTAATAACGGGGCGCGATTCGTAGCCATTGGAATTCCATTAGAGTATTAAAAGACCTGGTCTCCGAAAACCACATAGATATATTGTCGATAAAAAACTCGAGCATCTTTTTAATATCAACCTCAGATGACTTGTGTGTGCAGTCAGAAAGTTTTAAACAAAGTAATTTTGCAAATGACCAATGACAGGGTGAGGAAGTGTTTGAGACAGTTCAATTTTTATTGAAAAACCAGCTGCCAATGATGTCAGAAACCCTGGAAATGTTCAAAAAGATCCTTGGATTTTTTTTTTTTTTTTTTTTTTTTTTTGAGAATTTTTGATTAACAATTGTAGAATTAAATCCGAGTTCCTCTAAATACATGTTATATATAATGAGCCTTACAAACAAAGACTATGTTGTTACCAACTTCTTCAGCAGGAACCAGTACGTGATGATCATGTGATTAATATAATTTTTTTCACTTCTGGATTATTGAATACAGAAGGATAGATGGTTTTCACATTGTCCACAGTGGCTTAATGTGCGATTAGCTTTAACAAATTTTGATACATTTAATCCATTCTGACAAAATGTCAAGGTCTTTTCAGCTCACCTGAGCCGAAGACTCAAGTGAGCTTTTCTAATCACATTTTGTCCGTCGTCCGTCTAGCCGTCTGTCTGTCCGTCCGTCTGTAAACTTTTCACATTTTCGACTTCTTCTCAAGAACCACTGGGCCAATTTTGACCAAACTTGGTACAAAGCATTCTTGGGTGAAGAGAATCTAAATTGTTAAATTGAAGGGCCAGATCCCCTCACAAGGGGAGATAATCAAGAAAAGACAAAAATAGGGTGGGGTCATTAGAAAATCTTCTTCTCAAGAACCACTGGGCCAGAAAAGCTGAAACTTATGTGGGAGCATCCTGGGGTAGTGTAGATTCTACATTATTCAAATCATGACCCCCGAAGGTAGGGCGGGGTCACAATGAGGAATCAAAGTTTTACATAGAAATATATAGGGAAAATCTTTTAAAATCTTCTTCTCAAGAACCTCTGGGCCAGAAAAGCTGAAACTTATGTAGAAGCATCCTGGGGTGGTGTAGATTCTAAATTGTTCAAATCATGACCCCCGGGGGTAGGGCGGGGCCACAATGGGGAATCAAAGTTTTACATAGAAATATATAGGAAAAATGTTTGAAATTTTTTTCTTAAGAACCACTGGGCTAGAAAAGCTGAAACTTATGTGGAAGCATCCTGAAGTAGTGTAGATTCTAAATTGTTCAAACAAGACCCCCGGGGGTAGGGCTGGGCCACAATGGGGAATCAAAGTTTTACATAACTTCTCAAGATTATGTTCAGTCCATCGCCTTGCGTCATCTAGGTAAATATCTATTTAGGTAACTCACATAAAAATTGGTCTATACAGTCAAGAAATAATTATAATTTAATGAAAAAGGTGATTTCACCATTAAATATACAGGTTTTGCGGAACCTGTCCCCTTTTTAGAACACAAGTATTTCACCAGAGAACTTAAAAAGCTATAATTACATTTCCGGTGGTATGACTACAGTAGTTTTAAGGTAAAATTACTTTTAGTCTGCCAGGAAGTATTCCATAGAAAATATTGATTTAAAGTGAATCTAAGTAAAAAGCAATAATCATCAATAACGCAGAACTTGTTAACCTGTATGTGATATCTAGGCGAATGCCATATACGTCATTTTTTGTTCGTCAGAAAGGGATGGGTTAAGACTAGAAGGGTGCAGGAAAAAACCGCATGCACTTCTCAGTCTATTGTAAACCATAGAACTGGACTCCAGATTTACCATAAAAAATCATGAATTTTGTTATAATACATGTATTTGCATGTATACTGACAGTTATTATGAGCAAACTATAAATAAAGCACGGGCTTCTCCACAGAATTATCTTTTGTACCAAATAATTATTGAAGAACATTACTTTTATTCGTGTATAAATAGTCAATTTTTAGTTTGTTGCTTTTCTTTCATCAACTTAAACTTTTTCATCAACTTAAACTAGTTTCATTGCATTTTTAAAAATTAACCGATATATACATTTACAATTTAGTTTCAGTAAAAATGAATGCCTCTTTCGAAAGACAAAGTTTAGAAATTCTAGTTCAGATAATTGTCTTCCCTTGTGAAAGAGGGCATCGAAATGCATCTTTAAGAGTATCTTCCTTTTCCTCAAATTTTCAAGTGTGTAACTTTAGAAACAATATAAATGACAATGTAGAGGAATTGATCATCTAAAAGATACTTGCAAGAGTCCAGATTCAAAATGGATAACTTTAAAAACAAAAACAAATTATGTTAACTTTGCTATATCTTTAATTCTGAGTTTATTGCTTATTACTGTAGATCACCAAATTTTCGCGACTTTATTTTCGCGAGATAGAAATAATTTCTTTATTATGGAGACAAATTTTTCACTAATTATTATTACTGCTCTATATACTCTTTAGGAAATGCGAGAAAGATATTTTACCGAGCACATACACTGACTCGCATAAATACGCAAAAATAAAGTTCTCACGAATAGAGTGTTTTACAGTAATTAACAAACATGATATGACATGAAGAAAGCGATATATATATATACAATGCTACACTGTCTGAGATTTCCATTTAGAAGGAAGTTTAAAGACTTTGCTATACAATAAATTACATTCCTTGCGAAACCTATCGTCTACAAAACAATATACCAAAGGATTAGTCACATTGCTCAAGAAATATCCTCGCAGAAGAACTGAAGTGAACATTCCTAGACTACGTGCCAGGTTTTCATAGGCCGAGGGCCGCGCCGCCCTAATAACCAGAATAATGAGGTTTGGCAGGTACCCCACATACGACACAGCGGTGGCAATGAGAAACATCAGAGTGATCCTTCTGGTTCGATCCAGCCTGGCTTTTCCTTGCATCATAGGCTTACTGGAAGGTTTGTCTACGGTATTCCGCGTGATTTTGTTTTTATTGGAATATACACTAGACTCTTCGTCTTGAATGTGATGAGAACTGCTACCTTCTTGTTTCATAGGTACCATTTTCATGTGAACAGACGAAGCAGTCATTTTGTTATCGCTACTGATGGAGTTTCCGCTCAAGGTTTTCTTTACATTCTTCAGTTGAGCAGATTGACGGAAGGTCATTTGTTTGTACAAGCTCTTGCCAACGAAGGAATATGCAACGATACATATAATAAAAATGACAGTACTTATAAGAAGAAGAAGAAGGGAATAAATCCGGAAAAAAGATTGCTGGCCTTCACTGGAGCCTGTTGTACAATCCGTGCCTGAAAGTCCTGAAATGTCAGTGAGTTTTTCTGCTACATCATACAAATAAAATGAAGAAATCGCCAAAAGAATGGACACACCAACAGTGACCATGCATGCGATGGCTGCCTCTTTCTCGGATATTTGTCTCCCGAATGGACAGCACGCTTTTCTATATCGTTCAATGGCTATAACTCCCAACATAAGCCCCGAAGCGATACTGACAACATGGTTTACAAATCGGAAACACTTGCAAGCAGCACCCGAGTCAAATGTGTATCCATGGCGAATATCCACAATTTCAAATGGAGCACTGACCGCGCATGCAACGAAGTCAATGGCAGCTAACCAGACCACAAAGGTCCGATGGTTTGAGGGTTTATACCTCACGTGGTACACAATAAAAGCATGACCGTTCCCAATGGTTCCCACAAAACACAACAGAATCAAATAAACTACAACAGCTATATCGTCCTTAAGAAACTCCTGAAATTCATATTGTTCAATGGTCAAGGCTACCCCTGTTGAGTTCCTTAAAGTGTCGTTTGGTGTAGAGTCCATCCTAGCGTCATTCCCTACTCAATTCTGACTCTGCGTCGACTTGGGAAGGCTTAATAATGATCATAGTGATTTCATTTTCCGGTAGATCTCCAGTGTAGGAAATTCGCTCTTGATGTCTTAGGACCCGCATATTTCTTACTACCACTATAAACTATTGCTATATCCATGACTAACTAGTGCGTTCTTAAATAATCATATTTTCATACTTGACATATATATAGAATGTGCAATTTCTCACAGATTTGTAAACAATATCTCCACTGTGATTTTCTAAAATTGGGAACTTCTCCTTAACACGCTAAGTTATATTTCACTTTTTAAGCACTTTTATACATGTAAGATTTATAATATAATGTAATAATTATATGAATATAAACAAAAAGGAGAAACGATTGGATTGGGGAGGGGCATATCAAACAAAGCATTTATTAACAAAAACACTTTTAAGATATTTACTGTACGAGACAACAGTGCATTTAAACATTTTTAGGATCGCATTCTGTAGATTCCTAAAAATACGCGATTTACGTATAATCATAGCGAAAGTGTATTATTTAAAGTGCTATACGCGATACATATAGTGAAAGTGCATTATTTCTTTGAAAATCTTCTCCTCTGCTTCTAGGTATTTTAAAACAAACTATAACTAAGTACATATTTATGATGACCAAGAGTGCCTCTTTCGAAAATTGTGAATTTCATGGCCCCAGGGTTAGGGCGGGGCTCTATTAATTATATAGGGAAGAAACATTAATTCTTTAAAAATCTTCTCCTCTGCGCCTGAGTATAAGTACATAGTTATAATGAACAAGAATGTCTCTTCCAAAACAGCGTAATTCATGGACCCAGGTCAGAGATTCTGGTGTTAGGGCAGGGGCTCTATTGATTATACATAGTGAAAATGCATTAATTCTGCAAAACTTTTCTCTGCTCCTGGGAATTAAATTAACTTACTTAGTATATAGTTATAATGAACAAGAGTGCCTCTTCCAAAAATTATGAATTTCATGGCCGCTAGATCAGGGGTTTTGGTGTAAGGGGGAGCTCTTTTAATTACATTGTATATAGTGAAAATACATTAATTCTTTAAAAATCTTCTTCTTTACTCCTGGGTATTAAACAAACTGAGTATATAGTTATGATGAGGAAGAGTGTCTCTTGAATGGCTTTTATGGCCAAAATCTTCTTTTTTACTCCTGGATATTAAACAAACTAAGCATATAGTTATGATGACCAAGAGTGCCTCTTCCAAAATAATGAAATGAAATTTTATGGCCCCTGAATCGGGGGTTCTAATGTTAGGGCGGGGTCTATTGATTATATAGTGAAAATACATTGAATCTTTAAAAGTCTTCTTCTCCGCTCCTGTGTATGCCATAATTTAAAACTAACCAACACTGAGTATATAGTCAGGTTGAATAAGTCTGCCTCTTCCAAAATTGTGAATTTCATGGCCCTTGGGTCAGGGGTTCTGGTGTTAGGGTGGGACTCTATTGATTATATAGTGAAAATGCATAAATTCTTTTAAAATCTTTATCTTTGCTCCTGGGTATTAAACTAACTAAGTATATTGATATGATGAGCAAGAGTGTCTCTTCCAAAATTGTGAATTTCAGTGAAAATACATTGATTCTTAAAAAAAATCTTCTCTACTCCTGGGTATTTGATAATTTAAAACTAAGAAATATAAAGTCATATTAAATAGGTCTGCTTCTTCCAACATTGTACATTTCATGGCCCAACGGTCAGAAATTCTGGTGTTAGGGTGGGGCTCTATTGATTATATAGGGAAAAGGCATATTTTTTTTTAAATCTTCTACTTTGCTCCTGGATATTAAACAAACTAACTAAGTATATGGTTATGATGAGCTAGAGTGCCTCTTCCAAAATTGTGAATTTCATGGCCCATGAACGGGGTTCTATTGATTATATAGTGAAAATACATTGATTCTTTAAAAATCTTCTTCTCTGCTCCTGTATCTAATAAACTAACCAATATACAGTCATATTGAATAAGCCCGTCTCTTCCAAAATTGAAAAAATCATGGCCCCTGAGGGTCAGGGGTTCTGATGTTAGGGTCGGGCTGTATTGATTATATAGTGAAAATGCATAAATTCTTTAAGCATCTTCTTCTCTGCTCCCGTGTATTAAACCAATGAACTATGTACATAATTATGATGAGGAAAGGTGCCTCTTCCAAAATTGTGAATTTCATGGCCCCTAGGTTTCTGGTGTTAAGACAGGGCTCTAATGATTGTATCGTGAAAATGCACGAATTCTTTGAAAAAATTTTCCTTTGGTCCTTGGTATTATGCCAATGAGCTAAGTATATACACATGTATATTTTTAAGAAAAAAGACGCACTTAACAAAATGGCTAATTTCAGGGCCTCTGGGTCAGGGGTACGCGGGAGTACATAGTCTGAAAATAAATTAGTGCTTTGAAATCTGTTCTTTGGTATTAATCAACCATTTATGATGAAATAAAATTTATGATGTGGCCCAAGGGTCAGTGCTTCCTGTGGGGTGGGGTGCACAACTGGTTGTAAAATGGAAATTACTCTGATCTACCTGTGGGTATTAAGTAACCAGAGTAATCATGCTAAGTGTATAATTATGATGAGCAATGATGCATCTTTCAAAATTGTGAATTTCATGGCCTCTGGTTTAAAACATGAACCAAATTCAATTGTTCGAAAGTTGTTACATGATACTCAGGTGACCTATAAAGCTCGTGGGCCTCTTGTTAATGGTAACAGTTGAGTTAACACCCCTCGGAAGGAAAACCATTGTCAACCTACTTGTCAGCTTGAGTTGTCAATTTCAACAGTTAACCTCCAAACAAGTAGAGCTTTTCAAAAAAGCTTACCGTCTTTAGCAACAATTTTAAACAGTAAACAGATCTATACTTAACAGGCCGTATAATTCTTTTGAATTTCTTGATTTTGTATTTCTAAATTGACTTTTTACGGGCATTAGCCTTACCACGGTTGTCGCTCGGTCATCTCCGTAAACTTTGACTGGCCGAGAGCTTTCGGCAAACCTCGGCTGATTCCCATTCACTCTTCAAACAAGAAAGGGGAAAAGAATAATAACAAATTGTAAAGCCTGCAAGCAATAACTATCAAATTTTATTTATAATGAAATTAAAGAGACTTTTTTATTTATTGCTATAAAAATATAATGTTATTAAGAAATAATTACTGCTGATTTTGTTGTTCGTTTTGTCATTTTTTTAAGATTGGAAATCTTGCAAAATTGTTAAGTCGTACGAAAAATAGATCATCAGAAAGTTATCTCCCTTGCCTTGAACAGCATTTCAACCAATGAAATAATTGAAAATTTTCTCATCATGCAATTTCTACCAATCACAAAAGAGAGGAAGTGCATAGTCCGAAGACTGTAAAAAACTTCAACTATACAATACCGTCTTCCAAGGAAGACGGTAACAAAAGAGGCGCCATTCATACAAGTACATGTATGTAAGAACACTTAAGTGTTTTCCTTCATATCGACGGCTGTATCCAGAATATTATGATTAACAGCAACAAAACCTTGAAAACCCAAAATATTATTAAAATTTTATTAAAAATGCAAAATTTTGAATTCTGTTAAGAGGGCTAAAAAGCAACTTCCGGTAATGGAAAGAAATTCATTCAACGGTTAAATAACTGATTAGGCAAAGTAAAAGATGTCCTAATTTTTTTGGTACATAGTTATAACCCGTATATAATTTTCACCCTAAAATTAGGGTATTGCGTTTCTATTGACTGTGAGTATATATAAATAACAAAATTTGGATAGAGTTTAACATTTTTGAATTTTTCAGTCTTTTGAAAGAGCAATAAACGGACATATAATCATATCAAACTACAGAATATAAAATGTACCCGAAAATGAAATTTCAAGACACTAAGAAATGAAAATAACGAAAGTACTCGCAATTGATGTGACATCATTTGTTGAAAATGTTGTTTAGTCATCCTAATTTTCTTAATACAATTAAAACATGCAAAAGGAATTCAAACTGGGGCGTGTTTGAATGCATTAATAACAATAATATTAGTTATCCAGGTTCAATCAAGGGTGTACGGGGATTTACCCCGGGTTTTATTCCATACACCCTGAGGCCGAAGGCCGAAGGCCGAAGGGTGTATGGAATAAAACCCGGGGTAAATCCCCGTACACCCTTGATTGGACCTGGATAACGAATTTATTTCCTTTGTACCCATAAAAATGCTTTGTAAACATGATTTTTAGCTTTTATCATAGAGAATGTATGCATTGTGACGTCACGTTTATTTACACCCGGCTCAAGTCGGGTGCACGGATATTTACACCCGACTTTGTAACCAATCAAAGCTCGTGTTACAAGCTAGATAGGAAATAAGAGATGTTACCATTTTGACTTTTATAGGAACCAAAGTTGACAGTAGAGTGTCAGTGGGATCAAATGAGTGGCAGCTGTTCTTAAATATTTTGAAATTTTGTGTCAATGCATGAGAATAAATAAATTCTATTTAGTAGTAATGCATTGATTGCAAGTCTGGATGTGGTTACCTCTTATATCAACGGACCAAATAGTGTGACTTCTCAAACTAAGAATAGAGTTTTTTTGTTTGCTTGTAGTTTAACATCCCTCTCGAGAATTTTTCACTCATATGGGGACACCACCACTTGCCGGTGGAAATCTGCAAATTTTGTCCTATACTTGGCACTTAAGGCCATTGAGCAGGGAGGGATCTTTTTCGTGCTAGCACCTTCTGCGACACGGGACCTCGATTTATACGGTCTCATACGATTGACTGGTTCCCATGTCCAGTAGTTGGATTCGAACCTGCAACGGAAGGATTAACTCCTTACTTGGCGACTCTAGATCAGACGCTCTAACCACTGCGCCACGCTGTCGACTACGAATAGAGGCTCTGTTCTTTTCAATTTTGTATTGTCACAAGTTGAAGGATCGTTCATGTTTGCACTGTACTTTGTGATATGTAAATACACTGAAATCATCCTTAAATTATCTAGTTATGTTATAAGTAAATACACTGAAATTATTCTTAAATAATCTAGTCATGTTATATACATCGAGAGCAGAGTAAACATTGACCCCTGAAAACACCAGAAGTTGAATCAGATGC